CAGATACATGCTGCGGTAGGATTCCATTAGGGGATTCTAGTGTAGACACTATCTGCCTAACTAATGAGTGGGTCAGATCCTGTTGATGATAGAGCTGACAATAGGAGACTTACRCGTTCGGAAGCACTAAGGGTTCCGCACGTGTTCARGACCTTAGAYGAGGGAGAAGAAAGACGGCTTCGTGCCGAACGTAGAGCCCGTGCTCTAGCAGCAGGACTACAGGAAGCAAACAGAGTAGCAAGAGAGCGGGCAACAGCAGCCAGAGCAGCTGCAATGGCTAACGGCGCAAGCTCTGCTGCGTCATCGTCTGCGTCCTCGTCAGGGAATAGTGGGACTCAGTTGGGAATGCCACTGAGTTCCACAAGTTCCTCGGGCACTTCYSGTTCAACAGGTTCTAGACAGTCTTMTAGTCAAATGGCGGGCTCGCAGTTCAGCCCRTTGACCCCACGTGAGAGGGAGCTCAGGGAGATCCAACAGGTCGAGAGGCTCCGCCAGAAGTTAGAGGAGGACCTGAAAAAGGCAACCGATAGAGAAASAGAGATAAAAAGTAGAGCGGCSAGACTTGATACGTTAGAGGCTGACAAGGCTGCGTTAGAGGGATTGGACGAAACGGGTTTGTCTGACCCCCTGAAAGTGTTGAAGAACAACATGTTGTCACTRCATGCGCACGTTGACRGYAGGATGGACTTCATGCAGAGCACTTTGGACCAGATCCTGGATGCATTGACAAAGCCAGGATTCCGGCCACCAGCACAATCGCCGTTGCCGTTAAYGGCRATGTCAGGCCCCTTTCCAGTACAAGTTGGCACACAGCCAAGTGGTACGTCTGCAGCAGTCTCACAGACTGTTGCGTCCTCTTCTTCGGGTCCAGCGGTGATTGCTACATCACCGCAACAACCTGTTCCTCCACAGGGACAGCAGCAAGGTCAATGGTATCCTAAGACCCCGATGAAACCGCCTCTTGCCTTCTCAGGTGAGAGAAAGGATGAGGAACTCAACATATGGTTGAGAACGATCCCGGTTTGGGTGAAGGCAAAGAGGACCTTGCCTGAGGACGAAGTGGTAACTGCTGCATCCTACCTAGAGGGTAAGGCAGCCAAGTGGCTAGATGGAGTAGTTGTAAAGGCCGGGTACGGGAGACGCATGACAGACTGGGCTAAGTCATTGACGTTAGACCAGTTCATGGAGATGGTAGAAGCTCGATGGCATAACCCACAGGAGGCTCAAAGGGCCACTGATGCCATTAACAAGCTGGACCAACGAAAGTTCAAGTCGGTCAGAGAGCTTACGACTACCGTTGAGGGCCTGATCCTCGTCCCAGGCATCGACTACAGTGACCAGTTCCTGCTAACTACGTTTGTTAGATGTTTACCAGAGAACATCAGGAACTTACTAGCCAGCGAGGCACGCATTGTCTACCATTCGTTTGAGACACTGTCTAGGAAGGCCTTAGATTTAGAGTCCACTCTAGGCAATGCTCAACCCACCTCACAGAGTGACTCAAAGAAGAAGAAGAGTCCTCAGGAATGGAAGAAGAAGGAAGCAAAGTTGATGATGGTTGAGTCTGATGGGACTCAAACTGAGATTGACGAACTCTCTGACCTGATGGACTATGCAGAGCATGACGGCGAGGAGGTAGCTAAGGGTAGCACCCTTGCCGCGGTAGTAAAGACTAAGGTAGGTGGCCGAGGGAAGGGCCAACCTAGGGGTTAAGGGAAGGCCGCCTCCAATCAGACCAAACAGGCTGAGTGGGTAAAGGCAGGTCTTGATCAAGACGTGTGGCGTGGCCGCCGAATGCGTGGCGCTTGTATCAACTGCGGAGAATACGGACACACGCAGTGGAAGTGTCAGAACGCTAAGGTTACGCAAAAAGTTGCTCCAAAGGTAGGGGCTACTTATTCCTAGGGTTCCAACTCGGGAAACGCGTGAGGCGAGTGGAAGTATTAGCCGCTTCAACTCAAGATGAAGTGGGAATGATACCCTCCCCACTTCATGAAAAGGCCAAGTCTAATGACCCCTTAGTCACCCCGCAGACACAACTAGACCAAACTATGCTCTGTACGTTAGATGTGTCTGAAGCCTTAGAGGACTTAGAGAGTGAGTGGTCAAACAAGGACCCTCGCGAGTCTTGGGTGGCGCTGAGGAAAGGTCCTAGAGGGGAACATTTCGTGGTGGAAGTCGATGTAGGAGGCCGCAAATGTGGTGCCTTCATAGACATTGGCTCCACCCGGAATTACATAAGTCGCGACTGTTTGGAGAGGCTGCACCTACAGGACTGGGTGCGGCACCTTAGTAGACCTGTAGCATCTACTTTGGCCAACAAGGAGCGCATGATTGTAACAGACTACATCAAGGACGTAGACTGTACCTTCTCCTATGGAGGAGGTGAGCTTAACCATAAGATCTCGTTCTTGGTTAGCGACGACTTGCCATTCGATATGTTGTTAGGCATGTACTACCTCGAAGTTGCTAAGTCCCAGTTCGACTGGGATAAGAAGGTGCTCAAACACAAGTTGCCCGATGGCCGACCTGTCAGATTGACCAAGTTCAAGGCCAGTAGTATTATAGATACCTATGGCTGCTTGTGCACATCTACGTTCTATAACTATTACAAGCAAAACGAAGAGGAAGGTATGTATCTTGTTTATGTCTCTGAGAAGGGGGAGGTCGTTAAAACACCCCCAGAGATAGAACGCGTCGTTGCTAAGTTCCCTGATCTGTTCGAAGAGCCCACGGGAGTTGTTGAAAGGGAAGTCGTCCACGCTATAGAAATCATTCCAGGGAGTAAGACCCCAAAGGGAAGGATCTATAGGATGGCCCCCGCCGAGTTAGAAGAACTTCGGCGACAGCTTAAGGAGCTGACAGAGAAGGGTTGGATTCGGCCTAGTACTTCCCCTTACGGATCACCCGTTCTATTCGTACCGAAGAAGGGGGGTACTTTGAGGATGTGCATTGATTATAGGGGCCTCAATGCCATCACAGTGAAAAACGCAGAGCCTCTACCTCGCATAGACGACCTATTGGATAGGGTGCAGGGATGCAAGTACTATAAAAAGATAGATTTGAAATCCGGATATCACCAGATCGCAATAAGACCTGAGGACCAACACAAGACAACTTTTCAGAATCGTTATGGTCTGTATGAGTTTGTAGTGATGCCTTTCGGTCTTTGTAATGCACCGGGTACATTCCAGCACGCTATGAATCGGATCTTCCATGACCATTTAGATAAGTTTGTCATAGTCTATCTAGACGACATTCTGATCTTTAGTAAGTCTGCCGAGGAGCACTCACAGCATGTTGAGACAATTCTCTCACTCCTGCGACAGCACAAGTATAAGGTCAACTTAGAGAAGTGCGAGTTTGGCCGCACTAAGATATTATACTTGGGTCATGAAGTATCC